CAGTATTTTTTTATTCAATTTATTTTTTTACTTTCTTTTCAATCCTATAAAAATTATCGAAAAAGTCCTATAAATCATAATAATCAACAATTTAAAGTATTTTATAAACATAACAAATATTGAGGTGATGCTGACACGAACTTATGTATATAGTTGTTCATCCCTAAGGAATTATATAAATGTAAAGTTGTTAGAGCAACGATTTATTCTTAAATTCGAAAAGTTAATATATGTGGTTTTAGTCTTTGAATATAGTCTTGGTAAGAGGTGAAAGAGTTGAAAAAATTCACATGATGTGAGATATTATGTGTGCCAATTTTTTTTCGATGTTCTCATAATGAAGAAGCATCAACAAGGATGTTTGAGTGTGATGTAGATTTTTATCTAAGATTTGTATCATTTAACGTGTCATATGAATAGCCAAAAACACATGAAGTGTCTTGATGACCTAATAACTAACATTTCGTAAGTATTAAATTATTTGCACCTAAGTCCGAGCAATATAGAATTGTCGATATCACTAAACTTAAGGTTTATAACAACACTTGAAACATATCACATGGCAACTTGAACTTAGGGAATAATGAGGTTCATTGCACCCATTCATAACCAATGTGATTCATTCCCTATTTCACAACAATGAGTGATTCTAACAGGAACAAGAATAGATATTATTAAAAATACCCCAAAAACATCGTATTCGTAAGAATAAAGACCACAATATTAAGTATTGCGGGTTCGAATCACAAAGGGAGCAAAAAGGGTTGGAAGCTCCTCGAAAGGTGTTTAAAAAATAATAAATCACTCCGAACATTTGTGTAAAATAAATATTCATCTTTTATTAGATTTAGAGCAGAAGAGTACAATTAAGACATGTCAAGCAAGTATAAACACAAATATCTTACAAGAAATGGGGAACTAGTAACATAAACATTTTCTCATTCTTTCAAATTTGGGGAGCATTGGCACAACGGCACATGACTAGGAGATCACGGATTCAAATTGTGGAAAGAACCACTAGTAGAAATGCAGAGTATGCCAAATGTGACCTGGCTCTTCTCCAAACCCTGTATAGCGGGAGCTTAGTGTACCCAAGCTGCCCTTTAATTTGGATATATAGACTATAGTCTTCTATCCTAGTACAACAACAAGCATATGTCTCGTCAATATTTAACACGCTCAAAATATCAAAATGCTGCCCATCCAGCTGCTGTGGTCTTCTTGCTCGAACCAGATCCAGTGGCCGAAGGAAGGCTCCTCTGTAGAAATCCATAAGGAAATGTTGCTCACTTAAAGATGAAAGGATTGTTCATGATGCAGTGGGTAGCAAATACATCTTCCGTTCACTTTTACTTTTCACGTGACGAGTAAAAATGAACGGAAGAGTAATAAAAAAATGTCAATCACATATATCACCAAAGTTCAAGATAAATAAAACATGACTGATGACACATGCCAAAGCTATAATTTTCAAACCTATGTAACTGAATCATCAGCTAAGATGCTTGTCTTTCTTCTTTGAATAGATCAACTTGATTATGCCTATAGTTCAACACCTTCTCACAAAGACTAGAAGTGTGAAAACACCTTCTATTTCAAGCCTTCCATATCCTAAGATTTGTCTTCAATATTTGCAAAAGGATTGTTTACTAGAATAGATAACAATAATTAAAATGAAGAAGACAAAAGAACACTAGGTGATTTCTTTCCATTTGCCTAAACCTTGGTGGACAGAATTACCCGGTACCTGTGTTGGTAGGGGGTAGCAAGTATCCGTGGAACAGTTGAGGTACACACGAGCTGGTCCGAACAGCAAACACCACCATTATCAGTTTTTTAAAAAGAAGTAGGCAAACAATCCCAAACGTCTCCCACATGATTTTGTCAATCAAGAAAAATATGAGCAATTATCCACCAATTGAAGGGGGCATTAACAAAGGATCTCTGGATTGACTTATGGCTTAGCAATATGCAAAGAACTACAATACTAGGAAGTATTATAAATGGCAAGGAACTGACAATACCTCAAGTTGAGAGATATTGGAAAATGGATCACTGGATTGCCTTGAACTTCCATATGGCCCCTTGAGTGCAATACTGGCATTGGTAGAAGTCTTCCGAGAAATAGCTGGATCATTCGGAGGGGGTGGAAGAGGAGACCTGATCTTGTTAGCTCCGCTAGGGGGTGGCGCAATGGCAATGGCCTTTGATTGAACAGCAGCAGAAAGCATGCCTGTTCCACTAGATGATTTGTTCTTCACGTTTATCCTGATGGTTTCACCTTCCTAGGAACCAAACTATCGAAAGTTACTCATTTAGATGAATAACTGAGTAACTAACTGCATTTGAGGACAAATCACTACAACTCAGGAATAGAGTGAAACAATCACTAACTGGAAATCACTTAATGAAAAAGAAACAATGATATGGACAACACTCAATGAGCAAGATGATAAAAAAACTGGAGGAATAAGTTGCATACAGAGAAAACCATCTTACTGGAACGGATATAGGTATACATTAACACAACACCATACTTAACAACCTCTAATTATAACAAAGCACTCAATTTTCAATTCACGGAATGAGATTGGTGAAGGATCCAAGCAATTCAAGCCCCCAAACTCAATCCGAGACTCAGAGTAATATGATTGCTCCCAAACTCTGGTCAAACTGCATTTTAATCTATTGTGAACTCATTCACAAGTACACAATTGAAACATATTTCCAATTTGAAATGTTAAGTGCATGTTTTTCAAAAGATAGGCTAGTTCTTTCTAATCCCCACCATCCCCTCTCATAAAACATTTAGAAGAAAACAATCAATCAACTACATTTTAATCACAAATTAGATGGGAGTTAGCTACATGAATTTTCTGTATCTATTCTAGTCTATCAAATTTTAAAAAGGGAGGAAAGGGAGCTTTTTTTGAATCCACAGGGTTCACATCCTATTTTCAGTTTTGATGACCGTTTACTCAGAATCATATATTCGTTCAACTTCAAACTAAGCTGCTTATAGTTGATTACGGATTTAGTCAGACCAAGCTGCAATCTTGGCACAAATTCAGTCAAATTAAGCCTAGTAAAATTTTTCACAAATCAAATTCCAAAAATCACAACTTCAAAATCTATGGGCCCTGCAGCCAAATGCACACTAAGGTTCTAACACTACTCAATTAACTACAGAGAAACACAAGGCATTATCAAGGAGGAATCTACGAGCTCATTGTGGCATTCTCATAAATTCGAACTACTATTTAAAATTACATACTGACATATCCAAAAAGACAATATGTTCAGTTATATTGCTCTGACTCTCCAAAAATGCCACGGCAACCATGTTCAATCCTCCAAATATGCTAATTTCAAAGGATCCATAAAGCATCCAAGCAAAATTTTTGAAGAGTACGATCAACATATATCTCCAGTACTACTACTCATCATTAAGTACAATAACTACATTATCAAGCAAAATTCAAATACCTTTAATCGATGATTAACAGCAGGATGAATATCAATATGACCATCACTACTCGTCTCAGCTTCATCACCATCCTTCTCTGCATCTCTCTTCACATACTTCTCATGATCCGATAACGCTACATTGAAATCAAACGCTTCATTCCTCTCGCTAAATCCTAACCCTATAAACGCATGCTTCCCTGTACCATCTTCGATCTTCAACACAAAGTACCTCGACGAATCAAGCACCGATTCCACCGAACTCTCCCTCTGTCCCGGCGGCACGAAACAAGCTGCGAACAACTCGCCGGAATTCGGATCCTCTAATCGGATCTCGCACCGATCCTTACATGATACAACCCGGAGCCGACCCGACCAGATCTTGTCGGTTTGGAGCCACTCGCCGCATTTGTAGCCGCCGGAGGTTGGCCGGGGAGGAATTTTGAAGACGTTAACTTCACGCACTACTAAGAGCGTGTGCTCGAAGGATTCTTTATCTTCTTCAAACGACATCGTTTTGGGTGAGTAATTTGAAGTGAAGAAAAAAGAGATGAGAATAGATATATATAAAAGAAAAAATATGGTGGGAAAATGGTGGAAGAAAAAAAAGGAAGAAGTGAATTTTAAGGGAGTTAAAGATATTGAGATTTCAACTAATTTAAAGGTGGCAATTTTTTTTTGAATTTATGGTGGATTTGGTATGAAATCCAATATATTTGATGGTTGGTCAAAAATAGTTTCTAAAAAAGAAAAATGATATATGTTATAAGAATCTTGTTTCATACGATTGAATTGGACAAAGAAAATAGAGTGTTTGACGGGAAACAACGTCTACTTTAAGGTAAATTGAATGACGTCTAGAAAGAAAAATGTGTTTACCTGCTTTGGTATCAGTTAGAACAATTTGAATATTTTCTGTAGCAAAAATAAGCAATCTTACTAAAGAAAAAGATGCTTGTTGAGTAAGACCGGTTTTCGAGCTCAAGCCTCTTATATAGATCGAGTGCTTGAGTGTGTCTTTTTCTTATGGATCAAGGCATATTTTATTTGATACGTAATTAGTTATGAGATAAGTTATTTGTGTATTAAAAATTATAGTTCATTCTCTCCTCATACCATATCTTATTTGGACAGTAGCATTATTTATAATGTTCAAGTAAAAATTTATTCTAACTCGATAGTTGAATCAAAACAAACTAATTTATGTTTAATTTTTATTATAACAGACATAATATATAAACATGTTTTTTTAATTTGAATTTAGCTAACATCTATGCCTTTCAATCTTAGGTGTGGCCAAATACACACACGTTCTATTTGATATAATATGTGTCCTATATGATATAATACAAATCAACTCAAATATATATCACGTGAATTGCCATATAAGACACTATCCATTAACTATTTATTCAATTATGTATACCTAAAATTGAAAGAAATAAATTGCCCCGAAAATAGACAACCAGCTAATTTTCTTATAATGCAGTCGATACTGCCTGGATTTACTTATTTGCCCTCTATTTATTTTTAGTATTCCTATTATGCCCTTTTTATGTTGGCTCTTTCATTCAGAAGAACCCTAATTGTGACTCTTCTAAGTTCATCTTTGTTCAATATTTCTTTCTGGCGAAACTCAAGGTACTTGCTAAGTTTTTAGTTTATCAAAACCATAAAAATTGAATCTTTTTCTTCATATTCATGTGGGTTTTTAATGTTTTTCCATTTTTTACTTTCTCTGTATGTGTTTTTAAAAAAATTCATATTCATGTGTTTCTTTTTACTGTTTTTATTATTTTACTTTCTTTGTATGAGTCTTTGTTCTTTCTATTCATGTGGGTTGTTGCTAATTTATCATTTTGAGTGTGTTTGGTATGAAGGAAAATATTTTTCATGGAAAATAAGTGTTCTTGTTGGAACTTGTTTTGTGTTGTTTGGTAAGTAAGGAAAAAATACTATTCAAAAGCATGTGTAGGGTTTGAGGTAGGGGTAGGGGTGTGTTTGGTATGAAAGGAAAATGTTTTCCGTGGAAAATAAGTATAGTATGGTTTTAAAACTTGTTTTGTGTTGTTTGATAAGTAAGCAATAAATATTATTCAAAAGCATGTGTATCTAATCTAATTAGACACTATGCGGGTTGAGGTGGGGTTAGCTGAGTAGAGGTGTGTTCGGTGTGAAAGGAAAATGTTAACTGCGGAAAATAAGTGTTTTTTTTAAACTTGTTTTGTGTTGTTCGGTAAGTAAGCAATATATATTATTCAGAAGCATGTGTTTCTAATCTAATTAGACACTATGGGGTTGAGATGGGGGTAGGGGTGTGTTTGGTTTTCTTGTGTTTGGTAAGTAAGCAAAACATGTTATTTCAAAAGCATGTGTATATAATCTAGACATGGGGTTGGTTTGGGGGGTCGGGAACATGTTGTCTATTGAGATAGGGGTGGAATGTGTCATGTGTGAGGATGATGAGGTCCAGGAGACAATCAGTGTTAAATGTCATTGTGAAACTTGTTTTTTAAGTAAATTGTTGTCGTATAGAAAATATTTTTCAAAAATTTTGACCAACCAATGATGAGAACATTGAAAAGAATATTTTCCTCTGTACCAAACACACCCTTCACTTTCTCCATTTTCGTACACTTACCAGGAATAATTTTGTAATCTTCCATCTTTCCATGCTATGTGATACCCCCTTCATGGTTGTTCTGGACTAAGAAGATGCTTAGAAACTCAAAATTTCAGTCTTTCTTGTTTTATCTACAGGTAAAGACATAAGCAAAGATGTATCTCCAGTTTTACATTAACGATAATGGTGATAAAGTTTACACCACTAAGGTATGATTCTTGGAGATTTTGAGCATATTAATTAATATATGATCTTTATATTGTTTTAGGACTTCAATAGTGAAGTATGCAAGTTCTTATAGGTACATTTTGTTTGTGTGTAGTTGTGTTTCAACTTGCAAATGGGGTCTGATTGTTGAATTGAGAAAGACAGTTCAACTTTTTCATTATTTTTTTTGCAAGTTGAAATACTCATTTGAAAGTAAATTTAAAGTTGATTCAAAACTTTAAATTTTGCATACTTGTTTTTTTTTTTTTTGGAAAAAAAGAACTGCAACTACCCAAACATAACTTGAATGTCCACAAACGTTTTCCTCCTTCAATGTCAAATGCTTTTTCTTTTTCCAGCTTCAACTTCTAATGCTGTCCAAACAGTATCTCTTTTTACCCCTTTTCTCAATACTGAAGTTGAGGCGATACAGACAAAAGACGTTTCTTATTTTATTAATCCTCAGTGCAGTAAGAATAGTGGTAGGAGAGAACAATGCATCCCTTTTATTGAATTCATTTCTGGTATAAAGATTTGCTTAATATCACACAATGTGTTGCCTCAAGACTTAAAGAATGTCTTGGAAGTGATGTCTGGTTTTGACTTAACACGGAGTTGAAGAAATTCAAAAGTAAACAAACAAATTGAAACTGACGGAGTAACAAATTATGGCACTACTATCAAAATCTTCCATCCAACAAGCTGCAAATTTGTATTAAACATAAAAAAGAATGCTCTGCTTCTTGACTGTGAGTGTTGGTTGTTCTATTTCATCTCACTTCTCGCCTTGGCTGAACCTCATTTCTTAGATTCTCTTTTTTTCTTTTAGTGAACGTTGGTGTCAGTCTCTTACTTTATATGTCTCAAGTCCTGATGGCTGACCTATGTCGGTTTTACTCGTGCAGAAAGAATCACCACTAGGAAAGGCCACAGAGTCTGCTCACCCAGGTAAAACTTATTCTCTCTCTCGCTGCTCTTCTGTTTGGTGTTTGTCTGTTCGTCTATAGCCAGAACATAGGTGATGCAATTCTTCTGTAACTGATCATTAGCTTTGCTATGTTGCAGCCCGGTTTTCACCAGATGATAAATTTTCGAGGCAGAGAGTGCTTCTTAAGAAGCGTTTCGGCTTGCTTCCAACACAAAAACCACCTCAAAAGTACTAGCAACTTTTGCTACAACATATTGTTCTTCTCTCCTTAGTTAAAGCGCAGTGTCGTTATTCAAACACTCTTCTTCTCTTATGATAGTTTTCGGTTTGTCTAACTTTAGTAGTATATCTCTCAATATATGTTGGTATTATTGAGTCTTTATATGTTAGTTGTTTGTCGAAACCAAAAATGTAATAGATTGTTGCATCTCAACATTGGCAGTATTCTCTCAATATGGCAGTATTAAGTTAGTACTCGCTCTGTCCACTTTTATTTGTTAGTTCTATTAAAAATAGATGTCCATTTTTACTTTGTCCACGTGAAACTTTTCTTTTATTATAAGAAGGGCAAATATGAGAAAACCCGATAATGATAAGTGTGTGAAGTGATTTAAAGCTTAACGAAGGCTAATTTATCTCTCTATCTTTAACTATGATTAAACGTTATTATTTTTTTTATTTTTTTTAAAATTATGTTATCAATTTATTGGATTTGGATCAAGGCAATTTTTTTCCCTAACGGCAAGCCGCAAGAGTATTATTATTGCCTTTCTATGTATTTTTACTTGTTTATTATACTAAAATGTCTACTTTTACTTATGCAACTTAGAAAATTAAGAGATAATTATTACTTAATTCTTAATTTACTTATATTATTGACTATGAAAAAGGGTCACAAGTACCTTCAAATTATTCGAAATAGAGCACATATATCTTAAATTTGTTTTTGATCTCAAAACTACCCCACCAGTCTAACTAATAAAAAATGTATGAAGATTTAGATAAAAGAATTAACACAAGGGCAAAGTTGGACAATATAAGGAAACAAGGGCAAAATTGACATTTTACCTTCAATAATTTGGGAATATAATGAATTTTATTTTGTGTTGTTTAATATTGTAATCTGAGAATTTTCGTACGTATCAACAATGGAGAATTCGAGCCCATCAACAAGCCGGAAACGGCGACGCGCCGGCGAGCCCAGTCCCGAGCCGGAATCGGACCTCAATGACGATCAATTACTATCACTTGAAGAAAATTTCAACTTCAGTGATACTCTGGTGGCTCTTCGCATGATGCGTGCTCACTTTCCCCGTATTGATAAGGTATTTTTTTTTTTTTTGATTTTTTCGACATAATTTTGATAATCATGAGTTGAATTAGTGAAATTGTTAACAGACTATTTTAGCAGGAATTATAAGATTGTTGTTATTCAGTGAATAATTTAGTAACCTGTAATTTTACATATGAACACTAGTAGCAAATAAGAAGAAGGTAGAATCATGCTTAATTTATTTCAATCTGTTTGTCTGGTTTTGACTTGACACGGACTTTAAGAAAATAAAGAAACTTTTGAATTTTGTGGTGTTTGAACTAAAGATGGGTAGAATGTAACAAAATGATGTTCAAACTTCTCGACTTGCCATTAAAGGAAAGAAACATTGTTTTTTGAAACAGACTAAAAAGGAAACTAAAACAAACAAATTGAAATGGAGGGAGTAAATACTATCTGAAATAGTGATGTGGCACTCAAGGGTGTGACCTAGTGGGCAATCATGGTTGAGAACAATGAGGTTTCGAGTTCAAAAATACTACTCCCTCCGTCCCATTTTATGTTGCAACTTCTGTCTTGCACGGTGTTTAAGAATAAAGAAAAACTTTTGAAACTTGTGGTGTAAAATAATCTATAGATATTTGTGTGGCCGAAAATCCTAGAAAAAATAGTGAAAATGCTTGATGGCATTCTAGTACTTGGTAATGCAGAGTTTTATGCCGGAAACAAAACGTTGTATAAGTAATACATTATTTTATGCAAGATTCAGTTTTTTTCTTGGACAGGAGAGCTAAATGTTAGTTATGTTCATGTTTCTGTCTAGTTATTGTGGAGGAAGCAAAAATGATTCATGTGCCATATTGCATAGAGCAAGTCCTCTGTAGGCAAAGTTTGAGGGTATGAGATCATTTTGTATCATACCAAAGAATGCAATAGTTCTGGTTGTTTCACTATTCCACTCTTTTGTATTTTGACTCTTTCCAAGTCGTTTTCGCATCAGTGTACCCTTCTAGAGTTCTATAATATCTCAACTCTTCAAATTAAAATATTCTCAGGTTTCAGTTCAGCCTTTCATCTTGCGGTCACAGTTATACAGCAGTGTAAAGGACCGGACACAAGTGGACAGAGAGTTGGAGGTATTTACTGAAATTGTCGGTCAACTATAAAAAAGTTTTCTCTGAAATTGTGAGTCTGCTTCTTAAGGCATCTTTCTCTCATGTAAGATCATTATCGCACAAAATTTGGTCCAAAGCATTTGGAAGAATACATCTTGTGGGTGCAGAGACTTCACTGGTTGTTGAATCTGTCATGGATAGCTCTTAGGTTTCATTTTCAGTTTTGACGATCATCTTCGAGGTTTATTGGAAACAACCTCTCTACCTATGAGGTAGGGGTTAGGTCTGTGTACACTTAACCCTCCCCAGACACCACTTTGTGGGGATATACACTGTGTGTGTTGGTGTTGCTGATGACCATTTACTTAGTGCTTTACATATTCTGATGTTTTCTTTATTATTTTCCCTCTCTTGTTATTTGTATGCATTGGATCCAACTGAGAATAGCTAACAGATGTTTTGAGTATATTTGTGCCTCACAGTCTCTAAGGAGGGAAGGAGTTCTACGTACTTTCAAATTGAGTACTGGACAGGATGATCATGCTATAATGTTTTTGGACGACTATCTTAGTCAGGTTGATGGCTTAACTTTCACTTTCTGCAAAGAATTTCATTTGAAAACTTCGCCGTCTCCCCTCCTATAAAGAGATATGCAATAGTGTTTTCTGCATTTGTCCTTGTTTCTAATTATTGTCTATTTCTAAGCATATGTACCACATCCCATTGCCACCCTGATGTTTAACTATTACATTTTCATCACTAATGCTTATTTTCTTTTCTAGGTAGCTTTAATTGGTCATCAGTTTTGTTTGAGAGTTAACTTCCTATTAGTAAAACTTTCCTTGAATACTTGTTTAGATTGAACGTGTCAGCAAAAGATTGGAAACACAGAAACAAGAAGGCTTTTCTGTTTTTGAATGGTTCAAGGAGCATGTAATTCATTCAAAGCTAGATCCCAGTATTGGACATGAAGAACTTGTGAGTGACTTTCTCAAAGCCATGTGACGGTGAAAATTTCTTTTTTAATTTACTTGTGTGTACATACATGGTCTTTTCCATACTGATATGCGCCAAAAATTGTCTAATAACATTGCCCTAGAGTAAAATATATGTTTTCTCCTTTCACCTCATAAGTCAATTGTATTATACCAGCTTGAGAGGTCCTTGCAAATTTATTATGGAAAAGTTAATTCTAAAGTTTCTTATTCTTATATAATCTATTACTCTATTCAACTCGTAGTGTTTGTCAAAGTTCATCCTCTTCTCCGGTTCTGTCCCCATGCCTCATATTTTTTCACCCATGGTTATCTAGTTGCTCACTGTTCCTTCTGTATTTTCTGCTAACTTTTAAAAATTAAAGTGAAATTTATTGGTTCCTTTTCTTTTTCTTCTTTTTGTTCCCCTCTTTTTTCACGTATCCTATATCAATGATTGCTTTAGCTTAAAGATGGAATTTTGGTGGTAATGTTATTTTTTTTATTCTGATGGTTGACTGATCTGCTAACCTTCTCTAATTTCTGTTTTAGGGCATTCCTTGACAGTTGCTATAAAGACATAACTTACGTTGCAATGTTGCATTCTTTCAACAGATGTTAATGCAGTTTTTCCTAAAGTATGCTCCTTTCTGACATGGGCTACACATATATACTATGTGCACCTTATTCTTACAATAGTCCTAACTTTTGCTGTTGTCAGAGAGTGAACCAGCCTTCAGCATGTTGATGGAATTGAACTAGATATTTTTATCTTAAATTATTAATTTGAAATGCTTGATGACAAAGGAGAGGCCTGTTTTTGCTTGCAAGCTTATGTCTGAAGCCCTGAAATGTGTTTTTTATGCTTTATAGATTTTACTTTGTAGTTTGTCAAGTAACACTAAGATACTGAAAAAAACTAAATCTAGGGAATACACCCTGGTACAGCAGTAACCTGTCTCTCCTGATCAGTATCAGTCAACTATATCTCAATCCAAAGTAGTTGGTGTTAACTATATGAAGCCTGTGAGGATTCAAGTTTTTTTTTTAAATGACCGAGAAATCGCCAAGGGCTAGTGATGCATGGTTCGAAACTGTGGATAATGAGTCCATTCCTCTACTCATCTCCACTTAAATACCAGACTTTTGTTTACGGTAGCATTCAAACCAGTGACATTTGCCTAATCCACAGATCATCTGCTGTGCTTTTACCAAGGGGGTGTGGGTTCAATTGATTCTTCATAGTTAGATAACTTTACATTGGATGTCAACCTATCGTAGTCTCCTCATTTATCCACGCTTGGGGCTGAGTATAATTTGAGGTTTTCTCTGGCTGTACATCTATATGTGGAGATGCCATTATTTTTTGGGGTCGAGCAATCTAAGACACATTAGGTTTGTAATTTTCATTACTTGTGTAGAACAACAACTACAACAACATACCCAGTTTAATTGCACAAGTGGAGACACTTGTCTAGAGAAGGACTTAACACCCTGTAGAGCTTTTCTTGGCAAGGCCCTTAGACAGAGGTAATGATTAGATACTGCTTTCCTCTACAGTCATAGGGGACAATTTCCGCTTGTACTAAATGTTTACCGTGGTATGCTTGGAATGGTGTATTAAATTCAAAACATGGTGTTACTTGTTCAGCTGCGGATCAGAATGTCTATTGGTTGTGTGTATTTGTACAATACCATTCAAGGCTGTTCGCCTGTGTCAATATTTAATTTGTTAAAGATAAAATTCGTATCCTTAAGTTGAATAGATATTTCCTAAGCCTTTTTGTACATGAACCTATGTGATATATATGATATACATTCATAGAGGCTTGGATCAATGTTGTCAAGAAAAATGGTTACTTTAAATGAGCAGGATACTCTTTGTTTATAAGGTCCTCTACTTAAGTTAATGATTTAATTGTTGGATAATAGCATTAAAGTATACACTAAGGGGAGGCGCATGTCATGTTTGGTTCTTTATTCTTACATGAGGTATAGGATTAGAACAGCTCAATATTTGTGCTTACAGGATATTTTTCCTTTTTCCTTCTTATTTTCTGGTGGCTGTAGCGTTCACTTCTGTCGTTGGGAGGCAAGGTGAAGGAGGAGCACAT